GAGGAGAAAATGCTTAGCACAATGACTAAGCACCCACTGGCTGAAGAGAACAGTCTAAAGCTTGACAAAATGACTTCTCCTCTTCCACTGAAATAAGGACATTCTCTTCAAATGCTGTTAAATAAAATATTCCTGGAACCCTGCAGTGCTAAAACAGATGAAACAGATGTGGGTACATGTAACTTATCTCAAGGGAATCTACAAGCTCAAAAGGATAGAAAGCTTGCCTGCACCAGGAGCATGCACTTCTAGGAGAAATACTCTCTTTTACTCAAATATTTTACACAAACAAAAATGGCATATCCTCAAAAGAAGGCAACACAAATTTTAGATCTTTGGCTTGAAGATCAAGAGAAGAGTCCATCTTCTCAATATTAAGAATCTTGACATAAGGGATCCAGAAAAGAGGACCAAACCTGGCCAATGGAGGAAGTGAAAGGGCTCATGACAAATGCAGAGACAAGGAAAAGGTGGGAGGTAGGAGCTGCCTGTCACCCGGAGGAGAATGTCATCCATGGATCAAATCACAAATCAGGATGAAAGGAAGCAAAGACATTGGGGAGAAGGAATGAAAATGATTCCAAGACAACACCATCCTTTCAAATCACCACCATAGGTGCCAAACCCAGGGGGGCAAAGGGGCACGTGCCCCCCAAAAATATATTATTGAGGTAACAATGGCCCCCCCCAAGAATGACAAAATTTCAGCAAAAGTATAGCACATGGAAAATTGAAAACATAATGCTGCTTCATGAAAGAAACAAAAAAGTATGATTTTCCTTTCTGTTTTGAACTCCAACTGGGGGAGATCCCTGTGTCACTCCGTAAGAGTATGGGGTGGAAGGACTATGCCCAGCAAACACCCCCCCCCTGCTTGTCACCATGCTACCATAATAATATTGAGCTACTCCAATGGATCCTGGAATAAGTGCATCATTGTTATTTCAGGGGCATTAAGAACTTGCCCCCCCCCCCCCCCCCCCCAATAATTTTCAAAAGTCGGCGCCTATGATCACTACCTTGACACTTGTGCACATTAGCTGTCTCCTCCTTCTGAAAAAATAAAGATCATACTTTAAAATATTCATGAGTACCACTTTCATTCACATAAAAATTGTCAAGTAACTTAAACTTCTACTAATGCTGATACACTTTCAGACAATTCCACTTCTTTCACTACCAGGGCAGTGAAGAAAAAAGGAATTATGGTAACACTTGTGCAATATATGCTAACCATGTTCCAAGGGTTAGAGTCAAGTGGTAAATATCCCATTCACAGGAAACCACTTCACTCCCATCAAGACTGGTTTTCTGCAAATACTGTACAGGGTATTTTACCCCTTTTAGTGCTGCACGACCAAAAAATTTGCTGCGTTTACTACTTCCAAAAATGCTGTAGGCAGTTTTTCATGTCCTCTTAACAAGAAGAACACCAACTACATGAAGGAAGAAACTTTAAAAAAAGAAGTTACGGCCAAAAAATCATCCTTTGGCTTTTTAAGCAGGAGTACCTGTGGACAAAAAAATTGTCCATAGCACTAAAAGGGTTAAAAATTGCTCTCTTGATTGAGCCCCTACATGAGGTTCAGACATCTACATAGATTTGCCCAGCTTTCAAGTTGGCAACCCATGAGGCTAACTGTGTGAACGAGTAGGTATATTAGTTCTGAATGCTTCCTGTATCATTTTGTTAAAGTTAAGCATCAGTTTGTACAGCAAGATGAGAAATTATGATTGTAAATGGATTCTTGGAATGGAATGGAACAATATGTTCTTATGATCCTTCCTGGGGGGGGGGGGGGGGGGGGGGGGGGGGGGGGGGG